GTCGCCGAGCAACACGGACTTTCAACTCCCTCCACAGATTTTCTATGGGGTTGAGGTCTGGAGACTGGCTAGGCCACTCCAGGACTTTCAAATGCTTCTTACGGAGCCACTCCTTTGTTGCCCAGGCGGTGTGTTTGGGATCATTGTCGAGTTGGAAGACCCAGCCACGTTTCATCTTCAAAGCTCTCCCTGATGGAAGGAGGTTTTGGCTCAGAATCTCACGATACATGGCCCCATTCATTCTGTCCTTAACACGGATCAGTCGTCCTGTCCCCTTAGCAGAAAAACAGCCCCAAAGCATGATGTTCCCACCCCCATGCTTCACAGTAGGTATGGTGTTCTTGGGATGCAACTCGGTATTCTTCTTCCTCCAAACACGACAAGTTGAGTTTATACCAAAAAGTTCTACTTTGGTTTCATCTGACCACATGACATTCTCCCAATCCTCTGCTGTATCATCCATGTGCTCTCTGGCAAACTTCAGATGGGCCTGGACATGCACTGGCTTCAGCAGCGGAACACGTCTGGCACTGCAGGATTTTATTCCCTGCCGCTGTAGTGTGTTACTGATGGTGATCTTTGTTACTGTGGTCCCAGCTCTCTGCAGGTCATTCACCAGGTCCCCCCGTGTGGTTCTGGGATTCTTGCTCACCGTTCTCATGATCATTTTGACCCCACGGGATGAGATCTTGCGTGGAGCCCCAGATCGAGGGAGATTATCAGTGGTCTTGCATGTCTTCCATTTTCTGATAATTGCTCCCACAGTTGGTTTTTTCACACCAAGCTGCTTGCCTATTGTAGATTCACTCTTCCCAGTCTGGTGCAGGTCTACAATTCTTTTCCTGGTGTCCTTCAAAAGCTCTTTGGTCTTGGCCATAGTGGAGTTTGGAGTCTGACTGTTTGAGGCTGTGGACAGGTGTCTTTTATACAGATAATGAGTTCAAACAGGTGCCATTAATACAGGTAAAGAGTGGAGGACAGAAAAGCTTCTTAAAGAAGACGTTACAGGTCTGTGAGAGCCAGAGATTTTCCTTGTTTGAAGTGACCAAATACTTATTTTCCACCCTGATTTACAAATAAATTCTTTAAAAATCCTGCCATGTGAATTCATGGATTTTTTTTCACATTCTGTCTCTCACAGTTGAAGTGCACCTATGGTGTAAATTACTGACCTCTGTCATCATTTTAAGTGGGAGAACTTGCACAATCGGTGGCTGACTAAATACTTTTTTGCCCCACTGTAGTTGATTTGCTGCTGCACATAAACTGTCAGTCAGAAGCTCTGCTAGCCGCTTATCTTAAGACGAGCTAGTTCAATTTGTTAGCTTGTTATCAGAATCATAGTTGCAGTTTTATCATCTGAGATGCTTTTTAAGATCTAGGTAAACTTGTTCAATTTGGGGTTAAAAACAAACGTTTTCACATATTTTCCATGTAGTTTTTTGCCAGTTCCTCTTCTGAAAGGTAGACAATTGTTTTTCTCTTTCCTTCAGAAAATCTTAATATTCTCCTAGTTTGGCACAGCACAGTTCACTTCCCAATTACAGCAACAGCCTTATATCATAACCACATAAGTGGAGAAAATGTTCAGTAGCAATGAGAGAATTTGCTGTTGCATTTAAGTGACGTTAACTATTAACATTTAAACTTACTTTCTGATATTTTTATTTATTCTAAAAACCCTGGTAAGGGATGTTTTTCTGTATTTGGAGCATCAGAAAAAGTTTTATGGTGGAGGTGATGTTTTAAAGTCACTGAGAAACTGCATGCATGCAGTTTGTTGTTTTGCTGCTAATACAGTAGCAGGTGCAGCTGCATATTTTTGCAATAAAAATGTTATGTTGTAATGGAATTCATGCATTAGTTTTTGTTTGCTTTGAACCCAGAGCAGACATCACACGCCAGACGACATCAACACTGCATACTTTAGTATTTGTTCATTTATCGTGAGTAATATCGATATCTCAATATTAAGCACTGTTATTGAATATCGCAGGTTTTCCTAATATTGTGCCGCCCTATTGTAAATTAATGAATGTTACAAAAAATATTCGTTGAAATTTGTTTCATTTGCACCTAAAGATGAATGAAAACATTTGTTAAAAAATCATGGTTGAAGATTTCATAATTCATGCATTAAAGGATTAACAACCGATATTTTTTCCATCTCGTCTACATTTGTTTGCCTGTTTCAGAGGGTGAGGGGAGTGATGTGTAATTGTTTAGTCATGTGAACAGTGAATGAAATGATCTCAGAACTGTAAATGTGTGTGTTGTGTGTACATAATAACGTAAACAAACTTTAATAATTTTCATTCTACACAAAATATACTGATTTTAGAAGCTTTAATGTCAGTATATGGGTATTGGCAAATATTGGTTATCGGCCATAACAGTGGTCTTAATATTGGATATTGGTATCGGCCCAAAAATTTCATATTGGTGCATCACTAGTAGTACTTGATGGTGTTACGCATGAGTCGATATTATCAGAAAACTCGTCACTTCCAAAACGCGAGCGTCGAACCGGTTCAGTTTACTTGACCTTGCAGAATGTATTTGGATTGCTACCACATTATCAGGGTGCTTCAGCTCGATTAGAACCAGTTCGTCTTCGGGCTAATGCATATTTTTTTCCCCTCCACCTGAACCAATCCTCATGTAACCCTCTTATCTATATTAAGGTTGCACAACTCAGGTTACGAATGACCACAGTCACCAATTCTTGTCATGTGTCTTGCGCATGTATGTCTGATCTCTGAATTGTCTGTACTGAAACTCTTATTTCCCTCTGGGATTAATAATGTATTGATTGATTGATTGATTGATTGATTGATTGATTGATTGCAGCCAAAACGACTTTAGGGTTTTGTTCATGAGGGAATAACAATATCCCATGGTTAAAAAGCTCCAAAAGGTAGATTTTCCATGATATGGCCCTTTTATAAATTTTACTTTCACCTGTTTAGGAAGTACACCAATTAAAAAATGTGTCTATAATATCAGCATATTTAAAAATAGCAGTATTGCCCTCACTAGAAGTAGTTTTCTCCCTCAATATGCAGCAATATCATGTTCCCACGACAGAGCAGGCACGCGGTGTCTCGCAGGCAGGCTAACTTTTCCCTGCATAACACCTGTAGCTACTGCGGGCAGCTCCGGTGATGCAGGAAACAACCTGACATTTTGTACTTTGATGGCAATTTCTTTTTGTTTATTAGCATATTTTTCTGTCGGCTGGCTCTGCGTTGTCTGTGTTCGCTGTGAACTAAGACCGTTATCGGAAAACTGAAGACCGGTGATGTGCTTCATTGACACTCAAAAGGGAAAAGCTGAATGTGAAACTATTCTGTCCTGAAGGCAGCTGTGCCCTTCCCAGCACGCTGAATGCCCAGTATGCTCACATTGTGAGTGGCTGTTGCTCTGCCTTTTCTGTCTGTTTAAAATAGCACCAAGATGAAGACATTTTAGCTTTCCTGGGTAGAGGTGTTAGCTCTGCATTTGCCTGCTAGCTAAAAGCTGCAACTGGTTTCTGAATCCCTGCCTGCTGTAAATTAATTGTGACGTTAATGTGTTGTTTGAGAAAAAAAATTATAATTAAAACTATGCAACTGTTATTCCATTTGACAATCTCTACCTAAGGATGTATTTAAAATGTCATGTTTGTTGTTTTAAAAGGTTATTCAGATTTTTTTCTCCTGATCCGTTTAAAAGCATGTGATCGGGTCTGATTTCCGATCATGTGATCAGATTGGAGCCTCTCTAGTTTTTCAGTTGGCAAATGCAGTTTGTCTAGCATTAGCACCCAGCAGCACTTGCGCTGTGTAGTCAACTGTAAAGTAGACTATTAAAAGTGATTACTAGAGCAGAGCAGTACCAATTCTGTTAGGGGATTTAATCCAGAGGCATTGGTTTAGTACGTCTTTGTACCAACAAAACTTGATCCATTTATTAATTACAGTTAAGAAATGTAAACAAATTTCATTTTTTAAAACTGGCTCTTGAAAATGAATTTTTTCCTCTGCTGCCGTTTCACAGTACTGTGTTCTCATGAGTAACACCTGCAGCAGCACCAGAACAGAAAACAAAATAAAGCTCTGCTAGGGTTCTCCACTTAAGTTCACGCCTGTTTTTCTAAAATATAGAAATGTAATTTTGATGGCCATAGCATTGTTATTGAACAGGCGTGAACATCTACAGACTGGCAGGTTTTCATTTAGCTTTTCTGGTATGTTGAAACCTCTATCCCGTTTCTCTGCACATGTATCTTTAACAGATCTACCCAGACATACCCAGATACATAAGTTATCAGCCACAGAACAAAGATTCACAATTTTACTATGTGTATGATGTAACTATAAAACTATTCTATTTTAGCAGCTAACTGTTTTACTGGTAGCGGCTCCAGAACCAGCTTGAGTATTTAAATAAACCTTATTATAAAAGACTCAAAGCTTTGAAAAAACAGAGGATTTACAAACTAAACTGTCAACGAAGGCCACTGGTGAGCTTTTGTTTTCCAAACTGTCAACTTTCTAACTCAGTGGCCATTTTCGCAAGCAGCTAGCTGTTGTGTGTTCAACCCTCTATCAATTTGAATTTGAACATAATCACTTCTATTAAACGTAAAACTAGACAAAGACACAAGGTGGTGGATCTAGCAGACGTGCAATCGTTGAAGCTTATCGCTGTTTTTAGCAGCACGGCCTGCTGGAGACTCTAAATTAGCAACTTGAACCAACAGTGCCAACACGACGGTAACAACAAGATAGTTACTGGTTAGCCAGGCAGCTGCAGCTAGTTTGAGCCACTGCTACCTGAAGGCAGTCCGTCTGTTAGTGAGACGGCAGAACCAACAGCTAAATTATGTTTATTAGCCATGACGGAAGCAATGAAGGTCATAAGTTAGCTATCGGCACTGAACAACAGCACCTGCTTATACAGGCTTTAGCTTCCTAGCAGCTAGCTCCGGTTAGCTGGTGTAAAGTATCGTTACTCACCTTCCGCTGCTGCTGCGGCTGACTCCCACTTACTAGAGTGTTTTAGCGTTCAATTTCTTGTGGTGTAATTCTGTTTAATAACGATATATGCGGATTGTTTTTAACTAAAAACGAAGCATTGATTTCAAAAAGTCTCCGCCACATGTCTTATCATCTGGCTGCTAGTTTGGCGCCTCTGGCACCCCCTACCGGAACCACCCAGCATTACGGCCCAGAGTGGATTTATCCACTTGGTTTCATTTACGCAAAAAAAGAAAGAAAATATGAAAAGATGATTATTAACACAACAGCTGTTATGTTTTAACACATTTAACTTAAAGCAAACATTTAGAATTATATCTGATATATCTTCATCCATCCATTTTCAGCCCCTTATTTGGGGTCGGGTCGTGGGGGCAGTAGTCCAAGCCAAGAGGCCTAGACTTCCCTCTCCCCAGCCACTCGGGTAGCTCTTACGGGAAGATCCCAAGGCATTCCCTGGCCAGCCGAGAGACATAGTCCCTCCAGCGTGTCCTGGATTTTCCTTTAGGTCTCCTCCCAGTTGGACATGCCTGGAAATTCTCACCAGGGAGGCGTCCAGGCAGCATCCTAATCAGATGCCCAAGCCACCTCAACTTGTTCCTCTCAATGTGGAGGAGCAGCAGATCTACTCCGAGCCCCTCTCGGAGCTTCTCACCCTATCTCTAAGAGAGAGCCCAGGTACATTGAGAAGAAAACTCCTTTCAACCGCTTGTATCCGTGATCTCGTTCTTTCGGTCACTAACCCAAAGCTCGTGACCATAGGTGAGGGTAGGAACGTAGATCAACTGGTAAATTGAGAGCTTCGCCTTCCAGCTTAGCTCTCTTTTCACCACGGCAGACTGGCACAACACCCGTCGATAACATGCTCCATCTTCTCCTCACTTGTGAACAAGACCCCGAGATGCTTAAACTCCTCCACTTGGGGCAGGACCTCTTCCCTGACCAGGAGAAGGCATACCCGATTCTACCCTTTTCCGGAGATCAAGTTCTGATGAAGCCAACATGATCTCCTGCAAAAAGCAGAGATTCAATCCTCAGGCCACTCAGGCCACCAAAAGTCAACCAAACGCTTTACTATGACTTGAAATTCTGTCCATAAGTTCTGAACAGAATCTGTGACAAAGGGCAGCCTTGTGGGCCATTCCCATCTGTACCGGGTCGGCTCGGGCCGGGTAGCCCCAGTCGGCCCCAGCCTGGCCCGGTTGATTCCACACATCCTTGCCTTAAGCCCATGTGGGCTGATTCTACCCACCAATCCGAGGCTTGCTCTAATGGAAAGTGTGAATTTGCTGTCAGCAGTGGGTGTGTTGGCCCTGGTCGGCCTGAAGCAGACCCCCTCGAGAAGAGGGATGAGAATGAGCCTTGGTTGGCCCGGAAAAATACCAGGCCACCCAGATATGTAAACAACCTACGCTACCCGGCCCGGGCCGACCCAGTACAGATGGGAATGGCCCATTGGTGAAGTCCAACTCTCACCGGAAACGAGCCCGGCAAAGCGGACCAAGCTCCGACACTGATCATATAGGGACCTAACAGCCTGTATCGGGTAACCCATACTCCCAAAGTACCCCCCAAAGTGTCCCAGAGCTGACACTCTACCACTAGGCCACTAAGCTGGTTCATGTTTACAATCAAACAATCTATATGTACTACCAACTATGAAAATATGAAATAAAAATGATGCATGATGTAGTCTGGGCTACATCATGGCTTAAAAAATCATAAAAACAATGTTATGGAAATTTTTTAAGGAAGAAAATGTTAGAAAATATATGGTGACAAAAATGTGTGGTTCTGGGAAAGTGTAGAAGAAAAAAAAACCATTTGTATAAACAAAAAAAAGCCAAACAGATTCACTGATTATACACCAACAGTGGCATCAGCTGAAACACAAACTCACTGGTATTAAATCACATTTTCTTTTCTCCATCATACAGCAAATAACTGTCTTTCATTATCTGGAACCACTTATTAGAGTCCCACCAGTGGTGGTTGGTCCTTCGGTTCACTTAGGGGAAGTGACAAACAGCTAAGCTAAACAAAC